TGACAGTAGATTAAGCACTTGTTAAAATTTGGTAGGGATGATGTCTTAGTGAGCCTGGGCAGCTATAACACAATACCATAAACTGAAACTGAGCCGTTTAGACAATAAATATTTATTTCTGCAATTCTGGATGCTGAAAGTGTGAGTCAAGGTGCCAGCATGATCACCTGGTGAGGGCCCTCTTTTGGGTTGAAGATGGCTGACTTCTTGTTGTATCCTTAGATGGCAGAGAGAGTGAGAGCTTTCTGGGGTCCTTTTTATAAGGGCACTAATCCCATTTTTAAGGGTTCCACCCACATGACCTAATTATCTCCCAAAGCCCCACCTTGTAATACTATCATATTGGAGGTTAAGATTTCTATATACATATAGGGACTTCCCTGGCGGTCCAGTGGTTAAGACTGTACTTCCATTGCAGGGGCACAGGTTCGATCCCTGGTCAGGGAACTAAGATCCCGTATGCCAAGGGATGCGGACAAAAAAAAAGATTTCTACATATAAATTTGGGTTGGTGGGGACACAGACAACAGATGGTTATAATGGCAAAGGCACTGGAGTGGAGACCCTAGGTAGTGAGGGAGAGTGCAACCTGGGAAGAGGGAACATTATTTCTAGGTAGATTTTGGTGTAGAAAGAAGAAGGAGGGGGCAGAGGAAGGAGGGTGAAAGAGGAAGAGAAAAGAAGGCGAACAACTATTTCACAATTTTGTAAAGGGCTTAACCCCTCAGAAAATCCCTTTGAGTTGCTGCCAGCCTGATCTTTGTTCTTTGAAAGTATAACTACAACTACTTCTGCATTTATTTTATTATCCCCAAAGTGCTAGAGTACAATCAATAAATACTTGTTGATTATTCTGAGTGTTTCAAATCAATCCACACTTCTTGTTCTATTAAGGATCTTAGAATTGACGTTGATCTAGCTGATGTAAGAACCGTCTTTAAATTTGTAAGACATTTTATGTCTTTCCCCAAGGAGAAGCCAACATGTGTCCATGCCTATTATTCACCACACACTGTACTGGGTGTTTACTTACATTATCGCGTTTTTAGTAATTCACCATTATTTTATTTTTTTTTAAATTTTTACTATTTTTTTTAATCTTTTGGCCATGCTGTGGCATGTGGGATCTTAGTTCCCTGACCAGGGATTGAACCTGTGCCCCCTGCATTGGAAGCGCAGTCTTAACCACTGGACTGCCAGGGAAGTCCCTGTCATTATTTTAACAATTACCGAGTACCTGTTATATGTCAAACCCTGTGCTAGGCAATGACGATAAAAGGCAAAGGGAGAAGAGCAGAAAACTGCTCTTCAACAGTTATAGTATAATAGGGAGAAGACAGGGCTAAACCAACAGCTGCCACTTAGTGTGATAAGTGCAATGATAGAGGTAAGCACATGGAAATCTTAGAAGACAGAAAGGGAAGCTTTAATTCAAAATGGGTAGGAAAGACGATAATAAGAAGGAAACAAGTATTTGTTGTTTCTCTGAAATGAAAATTTAACTGAGTGCCAAGAGGAGCCTAAGGAGCCATGACTAAATGTGATGTGCTATCCTGGATGGGATCCTGGATCAGGAAAAGGACATTAGGGAACAACTGAACAAATATGAATAAAATACGGATTTTAGTTAATAATAATGTATTCCTATTGGTTCATTAATTGTGACAAATGTACCATACTAAGGTAAGATGTTAGTAATAGGGGAAATTGGGTGACGAGAACTGTCTGCACTATCTGTGCAATAATTCTGTAATTTCAAAACTATTCTAAAATAAAAAGTTAAAAAAAATTTTTTAAACTGGCATTTCATATTTTTGTTAGATCTGGCAACTTTAACACTTTTACTTCTGAATAATAATTAAAGACAAAATATGAAAAAAAATACCCTAGGTTGATAGTTTAAGGAATTTGAGTTAGGTATGATTTCTCCTATTTGATCCAAGCACTTTTTTTATATAAACCGTTCTTTTGTTTTCTTTTTAGGCAAACCTCAAGCGAGCAAATAGTTACTAGACAGGGAGTATACTTCAGTGTGGAGAGGCTTTGCCTCTAAGTGCCATAGTCTATCACCAGTTGCAACCAATTTCAGAAGCTATAAAAGAACTGTCTCCTCTCTCTGTCACTCTTTCACACACGAACCATCAATAGAATTCATCTTAATTTGATGTGCACATCTCAAGAGATTTTAAAAAATTAGTTTATGAGAAAATCAGCAAGGTTAAGGGCCTGCAAGTAATCACTTGCCTAGGGTGACTGCTAATTTATACTGTCTGAATGGAAACAGTGCTGATTATTTTACTCTCCGTGTTGGTCCTCTGGGGAAGAACAACCTGTGTGTTGTAGAACTTAAGAGTCTGAAATAGAAATAGAACTGTATATTATAACAGTTTTATCTGAAAGTGAACTTAGAAATCTCTTATTAAAAAAAAAAGGATGAGGCTTTTAAAAAAGAGTGAATTTTATAGACTGTCATTTTCTAGATAAAAGACGACCAAATACATTTTGCACAGCTTTGTTCGTTTTACAAAATTAGGAAAATAATTATTTTTGCTTAATACTTACATACTGATAATATGCTAGGACTTGTGAAGAAAATAAACCTATTCTCAAATGGTAATAAAAATTATATATCAGAGGTTACATGGGTTCCCTTATCTTAACTCTTCATTTCTACTCTAAGTGGCAAGCCTCTAAAACTAACAGATATTTGTGCCGCTAAAGATTTACATACGTCATAAATCTTACTTTGCAAACATGTGTAGAGCATTTACTATGGGCAAAAAATTATGCTGAAGAGCTCTGGTGTATTCAGAGATAACGATTCCTACGCTGTTTCTATTTTTAAAGAAGGTTTTGTCCTTTTGGAGTGGAGGGGAATCAGACGTTAATTTAGGCTTTGTTTATTTATATCTCAGTGTCCTTGGTCTCCTGCAAAAACACAAGGCCAAAACTTGTTTAAAAAAAAGATAATACTTTCAAGGATTTGGGTTCTAAAGCAGGACCATGGGGTTCTTTAAGAGATCTGTTCACACAGAGGGGCTAGGTCTGTTAAAGGGGCTAAAATAGAGGTTCGTTTTGTTTTTAAATTGTACTCGGTTCTCGTGGAGAGCTCTGTGCGGTCCCGGCCGGTGCCCCTGGAAGGCCGGGCTGCCCGCGTCAGTCGGACTCCAAGGACCAGAGGCCGCAGGAAGAGCCCGCTCGGACGGACAGGAGAGGCAGGTGGGTCCGGGCACCGCCGCTTCAGACGGCCTGCCCGGGCCTCAGAGGCCTCAGGCTGCAGTCAACGCGGGCCGCGGCCCCAACCAAGACCCTGAAGCTCGAACGCCCGCTGGGCGCACAGCCACGTCGCTCGTCGCCACCCTTCTGGGCTGGGCTACGGGCGGCGAGGGGCGGCAGCGCCCTTTCCGCGGCCGGGAAGCGCGGTTCCAGGAGAAAGGCCGCGAGGGCGGGGCTTCGGGCGGTGCGGAGCCTCGTCCTCACTTCGCGGTCAGACAGGGCGAGGAAAGGCCGCGTTGCGCCAGCGCAGAGAGCCACATGGCGCGACCCAGCAGGGCCTCCGCGTTGGCGGACACCGAAGAAGCAGTGTAGTGCGAGAAGCTTACAGCCCACACTGGGGAAAGATGGGTCAACTAACGAATGTTTCACCACAACCCATACGCCTAAGAGGGAATTTGAGAGCGCATGGGGGAGGGGCGGAAAGAGCAGGAGGCTCGTCGGGAGCATGCTCTGTACAGAGAGCCGTAAGTGGAGAGCCAGGCATGCGCAATGAGCTCGGGGTGGGTTGGCAGCGGGGAGGGGCTGGCGTGAGCGGGCTGATGTGTTTATCCGGTTTTCTGGGTGGGCGGTCAAAGCGCACGCGTAAGGGCGAAAGGCGGTGGAGCTGGGTAGTAGAATGCGCATGCGCAGAGCGAGCCGGTAGCTCTGGGAGGGCGTGGAGGGGGCTCTTAGAGGAGAAGCAGGGGAAAAGGGAAGCGAAGGGAAAGCAAAGGGCGGGGGGGGGGGGGGAGAGTGTGGTCTGCGCATGCGTGTAAGCGCTAGCGACGACGGCGGCGGGGGAGTCTCGGGGATGACAGTGGCTTTGCCCGTTGGGGTAACGGTCGTCGTCGCCGGCAGGGTCTGAGGCGCCGCACAGCCCACGGGATACATTAAGGCCGCAGCAGCCCGGGCCCTACCGAGCTAGAGTGGCGCGTGGAGTCGGGGTGAGGGCGGCGAGGCAAGGGGGGAGGGGCCTGCGGCGGGGCCTTGCTGTGTGCGCTGGGCGGCGGCGGGGCCTGGCGGTGTGAGCGCTCGCCTCAGCCTCTGCCGCGGCCGGGTGGGCGCCGTGGGCGGCGGCGACCGTGGTGCTTGGCGGAGGCGTCCGTGTGTGCCGCGCGGAGAAGATGGCCGGGCAGTGAGGGGGCGGCGCTTGCGCCTGGTGACCTCGGAGTAAGCGACTGAGGAGCTAGGGCCGCCGCCGCGGCCCGGCCGGGCCTGCTCCCCGCCCTCTCCCGCCGCCGCCGGCCCGCGCACTTCCTCCCCGGCCCTCCCCTCTCGGGCGGGGGCCTCTCCTGTCCGCTTCGCCACCTCAGGGAACTGCCGGGCTGTAATCGCCGGGGCGGAGAGCCAGGCGTGTCCGATATGGAGAGAGCGGCGGCGGCCTCCGCCAGCCGCAGCAGCCACGTTCGCCGCCGCCTCGGCTCGGTGCACTAGATCGAGGAATCCGACGACCTCACCGCAGTCCTTGCCGTCGCCGCTGCCTCCGCGCCGGGCGCTGTGATGGAGTAAGGGCCCTGCAGCCCGTGAGAAGCGTGCCCGCCCCTGGACCGGGCCGGGGCCTGCTCCCGCGACCGCCCAGCTCGACCACAGGAGGTGCCTTCGCGTCCCGAGATGCAGCTCGAGCGCAGGCCGCCCGCCGAGCCGCGGGGCTAGACTGAGCGCCGAAGCCGCCGCGTTCTGCGCCCCGCGGCCGCTCGGGACAAACTCGAACGCTGGTTTCTCTCTTTTTTTTTCCCCCCTTGGTCTGCAAATCTCAGGGACGGAGGAGGGGCGCCAAGGCCCCATGTGTGGGAGGACTGCTACGGCTCTACAAACTTGTACGGATTTTGGTTACAACTTTGGCCAGTGGTTCTCCCCCGATTTCCTCCGAATTGTTGCAAATTCGCCATTGTTCCCTGGCTGCTTACAAAGTTGGATCCGGAATTTCTCTTCAACCGAGAGCCAACAGTGTCGAAGTGTCTGCAATGAACCCCGTGAATGCTACTGCTCTCTACATTTCCGCGAGCCGCCTAGTGCTCAACTACGACCCCGGAGACCCCAAGGCGTTTACAGAGATTAACAGGCTCTTGCCTTACTTCCGACAGTCCCTCTCGTGCTGCGTTTGCGGTGAGACGCTTTTTATTGTTCCCCTTTCAGTGCTTGTTTAAAAAAAAAACTCAGGGCGATGGTAGCAGAAACCGTTTGACGGCGGGATAGTTTGTATTAAACTTTTATTATTTGTGCGGTAGTTTGCGGTCTTTAGTTTTGAAATTCGGCAGAGGACTTTTTTCCGGCATTTCAGAAAGACAGAACCCTTCCAAACCGCTCTGTACAGCGGCCTCAATGTTCAAAACTGTTAAATTCGCCTTGGGTCATTTCTGGTGTTTTTTTTTTTTTTTAAAGAGGTGAAATATGCATTTATGTTGCTGTCCCCCTCTTTTTTTTTTTTTTTTTTTTTTAAAGCTTTTGATACCAAAGCTGACTTAATACCTACCTTGTTTAAACGTGGTTAAACCTGGTTAAAACACCTACATGTGGCGTGTTTGCATTTCCCCAAACGTGTTGTGTGTGGGTGGTGGTATAGCCGGTGAGGTCGGTGCGGAACTTTTTCCCCCGGGTTCTTCTAATGCTTTGACAGTTTGACGATAAACAGTGAGCCAGGGCAGACTGATGGTTCAGTGCATTTTAGCTGGTGGGATTTTTTACAGGATTACGTTTTTTGGTGGTTTTACTATATTGTGGCCTGGTAGAGGGTTATTTTGGGTGTTTTTGTTGAAGAGGTATTACTTTGTGCTGGGCAGGATATTTTCAAGTTATTTTTGAGAGATGAAGATATGCTGAATTGTCTAATAAATCCGTGTCTCAAAAGTGATAATAATTTGTGATTATTATCTCAGTGATTAATTGTATGCATATAATAATAATTTATTTTTGAAAAAACTTAGACTGAAAATGTTAACATAAAGGAAAGGGTAACTGGCAAAACCAAAACAGTAATACTCCACTTCATATTCTTACTTCGCCAAAACTTTTGAGGTTTTGTTGATCCACTTACTTGTTTAGTCAGAATTTGAGAAATTCAGGCATTTCAGCTTTATCTTAAGAGAAATTTTGCGACTGTAGTGGCTGAAGGGAGAAATGGTATTCATTTGAGATTCATTCAGCATTTTCCATATAGCTCTGAGGCAAAGCCCTGAGGGGTACAGAAGAGGTGAAGAGTGTTTTTTTGCACATCGGGTTCTTAATCTCATAAACATTTAAGTAACTCTTACAAGCGATTAAGTGCTCCACTGACTGGTAACCGACACTTAACACCTTTATAGAGAAGCAGTTGCCCTGGTAAATCACTTAATTGCCCTGGGCCTCAGTTTCTTAACATGTAAAATGAGAGCTTTGGGCTAGATTCAGAGTTTCTTTTCCGCTTATATTTTACAAATATAGTATAAGAATTTGCTTAGTTTCAGCGAACTCCGCCACCCCACTCTCACTTTTTTTTTTTTAATGGAGTGCTTTTTTTTTATGTCTTCATAGCTTTTGATAGTTTGTGGAATGAGGAGATGGGGCTACTATAACTTCTTTCAACACAAACCTGTCTTTTGGTGGGGGAATTGCTACTGTGGTGATGTAGAGGGCATAGACCAGCCCATCCTGGCCTGCTAGAACTGCAGTAGAGAGTGATGTCATTATCCAGGTAACACTTGAAGATCTGGTAGGTCTGCTTTTTACATGGTGGATGGGACTTAGCTCTCAAAGAGGGAAATGGTAGTTTTGCAGATGCTTGGAATTTTAAATCAGTAGCTTCAGGACAGTTGTGGTCTAATTGAACATTTTCCAAGAATCTAACCTGGATTTTAAAAACTGGTATTAAGGATAAAGCTACATTAGAAAGTCCAACTGTATCTTTTTTTTTTTTTAATCAGTTTTGACAACTCAAAGGAATTTTTGTGACATTGGGGCTTTTAATTATTCCTTCTTGTTCAAGCTTCTCTTCCCCACCATCCTATGCAAAAGATTTATGGGTTCTACTTCTCCCTTATAATTGAGTAGCTGGCATAAAATTTCAGCAATATGGATGTAGGTTCAGTTTTTTCCCCTCATCTCTTTGGACATAAGTCTGTGGTTATGAAGAGATGGGGGAAAAAACCCAGTTATTTGAATTCAGATCCAACAGTTTTCATCTTTGTGTCAGATAATGTCCTGGACTCCTTTTCCTAGCTGGAAAGCATAAACTCCTTCCAGTTAATAGGGCATGTGCAGTCTTATTTCATTAGGATAATAGATATGTAAAAGTTAAGTTTTAATTCTATCTTGGCGCTGTAAATAGGGAGTTTGTTTCAACAGGTCCTCCAGTGTCTGACCCAAACCTCCCCTTTCAGCTTTGTATTTAACTGCCCTCTTAATTTCTAATAATTTCTCAGCTTCAGGCAGTTTGATATTTTTGTCTTTTTGAACATACATGCCTTATGTCTTCCTTCTCTTTTCCCCACCTTTGCTCTTTGAAGTTCCTTCTGCCTAAAATATATTCTTTCTGTGTATGGTCTAACTCATCAACTCCTTCCCTCCCTCATTGACGTCTTTGTTCTGTCACAGGTGCTTTTAACTCTTTCAAATTATTCTATCTTAGGGAAAATACTATTTTTTTTGTACATTTCTGTGTTCCTTCTGCCTCATTCTCTCCTGTTCAGTGAATAGCATGTAGGTGTTTATGACAGACTCAGAGAAAGAAAGTGAGAGGAGGTGAGGGAGGGAAAAAGGGTCTATGAACTTTGCATTTAGGTACAAATCTTAACTTTTCTACTTTCTGTCTAGGCAAGTTACTTTTAACTTTTTGCCTAATTTTCTTGTATCTACAAAAGGGGATAATATCTTCTTTAAGTTTGTTTTTCCAAATCTGTGTTATATGTGAGTTTATTTTTAAGTGGGAAAAACCTTTTGAACCCATGAGAACAAGTCTGTGGACTTTGTGCCACCCTTGCGCAGAGGTGGAGAAAGGTAGGGGGAAGTGAGAGAAGAGATTGAACTGTCCTGTCAAATATTGTCAAACGTAGATTATTCTCTGGAACTACAGGTTTTGTTATCATTGTTCTTTGAAATGTTAATTAGCTGATTATCACTGCTTGTTTTTCAGTTGCTTTGTATGTTTAAACTTTCTGAAGTTTCTGGTGAATGGGATAGCAATTCTCCAGAGAGTTACTGTACTTTCTAGGCCACAGAAACAGTGACCAAGACAGTATTACTGTGGGTACTATTTCTGTGTCAGTTCTTTCCCCTTGTTCTTGCTTTATCATTTATCACTAAGTATGTAGAATGAATTTTCTTTTGATGGCATGAAACTCAATAAATTCTGCCCTAGGGATTTTAAGTTTTTTATTAAGCTTTTATATCCTCAAATGACATAACAAGTTTGATATGTAGAATCAAATACTGTTAGAACTGGAAGGACATGTTAAGTGGAAAAATAGTATTCTCTGAGATATTTGGAGTCCTGTAAATTAATCATGGTAAAATCTCAAGGACATGAATATTTCCCTGATTTTTTTTTTTTTCTTTTTTTTTGTGGTATGCGGGCCTCTCACTGTTGTGGCCTCTCCCGTTGCGGAGCACAGGCTCCGCACACGCAGGCTCGGTGGCCATGGCTCACGGACCCAGCCGCTCCGCGGCATGTGGGATCTTCCCGGACTGGGGCACGAACCCGTGTCCCCTGCATTGGCAGGCGGACTCTCAACCACTGCGCCACCAGGGAAGCCCCTCCCTGATGTTTTAAATTCTAGAAACAAAGTGGTTTTGGCTTTTACTGAAGAGTTGTGGAACTTTTGGATATCCAGTTTCTTATTTATAAAATAGGAAGGAGCTGGAGAATAGTGTTTCCCACTGACCTAAGCTGACCAAGTTTTTGTTTTGAATGTTAAGGACTTAAAAAAGCAAATCCTGTCATCTTTTCTTACTACTGCTACTCTCACATTCCACTACAAGGTACGTGGTTCCCTGAGGGTGAGAGTCTTGCTGGTCTTGTTCACTGTTGTAGCCCTGAACCTGACAGTTCCTGGCTGAACAAGCATTGTTGAATGGAGGAAGCTGCCGATAAAAAGAGCAAGGTTCAAAGTAGGAAGGATGTGCTCTCAGAATAAAGTATATGCCTTAAAATTCAATAGATTTAGCTTTATGAAAGACTACTTTTCATTTTCCTTATTTTTCTCATTTTGGCATTGTTTGTGGGCCCACTTTGGAATTAGTGCAGTAGATTATCTCAAGAATCTCTTCCAGTTCTGGAGTTCTGATTCTTTTAGCAGAAATACTTTGTTTTAGACTGAGCAAACAATTTATAAATAGCAAGAATCTTCTAAAATGAAATTTGAGCATTTAGCATGATTTATTTTAAACCACATACCTTTAGAGGCTAAATTAAAAAGCCATTTGTTTAATCGTACGTTAAGCGTTATACTAATGTTTTACATTTATATTCTTCTCAAGTTTGAGTTCATTTGATACTTAAGATTTTATTTTTCTTGTACTTATCACCATAATTAAATTTTTTATTGTAGTAAGCATATAATGTAAAATTTACCATCTTAACCATTTTTAAGTGTACAGTTCAGTAGTGTTGAGTATATTTACATTATTGTGAAACAGGTTTCCAGAACTTTTTTTTTTCTTTTTTTGCGATACGCGGGCCTCTCACTGCTGTGGCCTCTGCTGTTGCGGAGCACAGGCTCCGGACACACAGGCTCAGTGGCATGGCTCACGGGCCCAGCCGCTCTGCGGCATGTGGGATCCTCCTGGACCGAGGCACGAACCCGTGTCCCCTGCATCAGCAGGCGGACTCTCAACCACTGCGCCACCAGGGAAGCCCCTCCAGAACTTTTTGATCTTGTAAATCTGAAACTCTGTACCCAACAAGCAACCACCATTTTCTTCCTTCCCCCAAACCCCTTGTAACAACCATTCTTTTTTCTGTCTCTCTGAATTTGACTATTGTAGATTCCTCATATAAGTAGAATCATGCAATACTTGTCTTTGTTGACTAGCTTATTCCACTTAGCATAATGTTTTTGTTTTTTTTTTGCGGTACGCGGGCCTCTCCCGTTGCGGAGCACAGGCTCCAGATGCGCAGGCTCAGCGACCATGGC